TTGAGAAAAAAAAAGAATTGGATTTCGTAATTTTGCAATTAATTTAATAAGTTGAAGTTGCATGGCTTTCTTTGACTTTTGTTTGATTTTCGGGATCCGGCGGCTTTTGGATCACTTTAATTTCTTATCCTTTCTTTAATTACATTTGTCTTTTCTCATTAAAACCATTTATTTTTATTTTTATTTTCATTTTCTCACTGTAAAACACATATACTTTTTGTATATTTCCGCATTTCTGTATCTTGATTATTAAATGCTCATTTAAATTTCCAAACTTTTAAATAATCAGTATTTTAAATTAAATTTTATAAAATTTATCCAAACATGTTTAGTTTTTGATCGGCTAAAATTAATATAAAAATTGAAGCTGTGTCCGATTTACTTATTTTATAAACATAAATATCAAAATGTAAAATATCGATAGTTTGGATGTCAAAATGGAAACTGTACAAAGATTTGAATGTTTTTAGGGCTTTCAGTGTGTATATATATATATATATATACATGTATATGTGTGTACGTACACAAAATTCATTTTGATTAGTAAAATCGAATAATTAGTTACCTAACGGTTCGTAGAAGTCATGGGTCAAACACCTGGAAAAGTAATTGATTAAGTAATAATATAAGGAAAATCAACTTTATTAATAATATAATAAAAATGTTTACTGTTCTGCCGACATAAGATACGACCTTTTGTATTTGCCGCTTTGTAACTTTAACAAGAAATATGTTACATAAGATGAAATTATATTTTTTTTGGTTGGGTAACCGGGTTCCCTGGACCGAGGCCCAGACTAATTCCGGAATCGGGAACCAGTTATGTGATTTGAATTATGTGTTCCCTCACCAATCTGGAGTTCGAAGTCGGTCCACTAATCTTGATTAGATAAGGTTTTATGTACGAAGTAAATATTTTATAATTACATTTTTACAAACATTTAAAATTTTTTCACATTTCTAAGTTGTAGGGTCCAATGAAACGTGGATGACGTTTCATTCTGGTTGTACATTTTGCTATTCATGGGAAAAAAAATATTAGACTTACTATTAGAGCTTTTTATTCAAAATAAATTTATATTTAAATTCCACGGGAGTTAGTTCATTAGAGCGTCACTATAATAATTTTAGGTTTTTGTTTTTACCCAAATGGATTTTATCATGTAGGATATTCCAAAAAAAAATTACATGGACAAATAAACAAAAATCGAAGTGAATTATAGTATCTCAGTTTAATTCGTTTATTATTATTATTATAATAACTCACTAATTATGTTAGTTGGAATAATGATTCGAGAACGATGCAATTATTAACGGAATAAAATCCAGTTATTATTGAAAAAAATCAATTAATATATAGTTATTTTAATATATCAACATTTTAGTTTTTTATTTATATGTTACCGGTGAATATATTATTTATGTTTTTATGTTAAGACATGTTTATGGGCATTTTGAATAATTGATTGCGTTTTATTTTATTTTTATTGTGATATTATTTTATTTTAATGAAATTGAATCCAGTTAAATTTTTGTTTGATTATTATGCAATTGTAATTTTTACCAATATCGTCGAATCCAATGAATCGAACCGATCAAAATTATATAATTGTTCGGTTATATATATTTTTTAAAAGTTGAATAAACCGTACCAGCTATAACCAAACCGGAAACCAAAATGTTCACCCACTAAAAAATAGTCTATTTCAATACAAATACATATATATATATATATATATATATATATATATATATATATATATATATATATATATATATATATATATATGTATATCACACT